CAACCGGTTTTTTTTAAATGTCAACTATTCGAACTATTCGAAAACCGGTTTTTGGAAAATGTCGAATAATCGATCACCCTAGATGATATAGAGCAAGGGGGTTTTAAGGCAAAGAGCCTCAAAAAATTTTGAAAATTTATAATGGTTCGAATTATTTCTTTCCTACATACCCTCTTTAATAAAACTGAATTTTTTTTCTAAACATCATTAAATAATGTTTAAAATGTACTTAACAGCTTAAAAGTTAGACTAATAGTATAACAACTATAAAACACATAAACAATTACTGTTATTATCATTTAAGACCTGCAGCAACATTAGATTAATTTTTATACACAAATAAACATAAACATTTTATAATAATGCGCCCGATCTTATCGGCCTCTAAGTAGTTCAGTTGGAAATCATTTGATAAGAAATTAGAGAGAGAGAGAATTGTTATCAAGATAAAGTGCCTTGAACTTGAAGAAAGGTCATTCAATACAATTGAAATACAATTATATACAATTTGAAAAAATTCAAATCTTTTAAGCGTTCCTTGTATAATGATCAGTAGTATTGATCATTATAAGGAGTAAACAAATAATTTACTAATTAAGATCTTTAAAGGAGTCGATATTTTGCTTTACCATCTTTCATCATTTATTAATTTTAACTATAATTTACTAATCAAAATAAAAATGTAGAAAAACTTTGAGCTATTCCAAGTTTACTTCTCATCACACATAGTAGGACCATCACCAATACAAGCAGCATAGGCCATTAAATGAGGTATCGTGTTCTGTTGCAAAACACCACTAAATAAATGTTCAAAGGGACCAGAGGCGAAGATGCCTACATCATCTCCCGAATGTTGGCCATCGTTAGACTTTATATAACTAGGATACTCAAAGTCTATAAAAATAGAAGCCATCATATAACTAAAGTTATTTTGATCTTTTAAACCATATACTTACCAGCATCTCTTTTAATATTCTCCAAATCCAAACGATGGCCATTTTCATCTAAATATTGTTGAATACCAATGGGATAATTTAAAGTTGAATATTTCAAACCATATGCATCTGTATCATGTTGATTGAGTCCCAAAATGTCGGTACCTCTACCTGGGTAACCAGATATTGTTAAGGGATGAGCATGATCGGATGATACTACTATAAGTGTATCCAGAGGATCAGTCATTTCCCTTGCTAATTGTATGGCTTTTTCAAATTCCAAAGTTTCATCTAGAGATATGGCAGCCTTAGTATAATGATGAGCAATATCTATTAAACCACCCTCTATGAATATAAAATAACCCTGATCGTTACGCTGTAAAAATTCTAAGGCCACCTTAGTCATTTCCGATAAAGTAGGTTGTTCAAGGGGATCGGCCATTAAATGGTAATCCATCAACTGAGATTGATATACACCCATTATATGTGATACATTATTAACATCAAGTTCCAGCAACTGTTGACGATTGGTGGTAATAATTCCCTCTGGATGCATTTCCTGCCAAGTGGAGAGTAGATTTTTACCATCTTCTCTTATACCCAAATTGCCATGATTGTCACGTATGGTATTGGGTAAGAATTTGGATATGCCACCACCCATTATAACATTAAAATTGCGTCCTGGTTCTTGGGTTATTAATTGTGTTGCCATGTCCATGCATTCGTTAGGATCTTTATTGAATGATTTAACATCGGTATCACTTTCATATAAACGATTGGCTACATGAGCATATAAACCACTAGGACTGGCATGGGTTAGAGTTGTGGTGGTTATAAAACCGGTAGATTTACCAGACTTTTGAGCCCAGGCGGCTATGGAGGAAACATGATTTTTGGGATCCATACTGGCAGTGCAGTTGTTAAACTCTACGTTAGCATTGACCCCTATGGTCACAATATTAGCCTTAACACCACACAAATATGCGGTGGCGGTGCAGGCAGAGTCGGGAACTTGAGCATTGGCGCAATAGGTCTATAAATTAGAATAAATGTAGCGCTTTAAAATTCCTGTTTTTCTCTTTAACTGCCTTCATCTTACCTTACTTAAGCCGGTGAAAGGAAACTTTTCAAAACTCAACACCTCTTCTTCTCCGGTATTACCCTTCCTTTGACCCTTAAGCATACGTGAAGCTGCCACTGTACTCAAAGACATGCCATCACCCAAAAAGAATATAACATTTTTAGCTTTATTCATATTTAGCTTTTGCTTTTTCAAATTCTGCTCCAATTCCTTGCGTGCTAAATTTCTCCAAAATTCTGGATCCTTCTCCGCTTCAGGTGTACATTTACCCAAACCAATATCTTCAAGAAGAGCTCGTCCTAAATGCTGACCCGTCAACTTTCTAACATTATGAAATTCTTCATCAGATATGACATGTCCTTGTAAACTTTGGACTAGCATCAAAGCGTTTAGCGCCAACACAATTAGTTTAACCAACATCATTGTTTTAGAGCGAGTTTGTGTTCAGTGTTTATTTCAAAATTTTACACTGAACTGAAAGTATTACAGTTAATTATCATGATTTTATATATCAGGAAAATAAATTTCCTGAGACAATGTTAATGTTTATGATAGTGATAATTAAATGTGTTCAGTATTCGTATCTTTATAGTGTTTAATATTTTAGACTTGAACGTATAAAGAGGGTGGGTGCATCTCAAGCATATAATGATTATAGACATACGTAGTATAAGATAATAACAATTCTGAATGCTTCACATGTGCATATTACAGTGCATTACTCTTTAAAATTTGTTTAAGTTAGTTCGCCAGTTTATAATCACCCAAACCTTCGATTCTTACTAGGAAATGAAAGTGATCACAGATTTTCATTGTTTAACTCTATCTCTTATAGTATCCAAGATACGTTTTCACTTAAAATATCGATTTTATATGGGAAATGAAAGTGATCACAGATTTTCATTGTCTTGGCTCTATCTCTTATAGTTTCCAAGATAAATGGACTTTTATGTTTTCACTCAAAAAATGGATTTTATATGGGAAATGAAAAGTGATCACAGATTTTCATTGTTTTGGCTCTATCTCTTATAGTTTCCAAAATAAATGGACTTTTATGTTTTCACTCAAAAAATGGATTTTATATGGGAAATGAAAGTGATCACAGATTTTCATTGTTTCGGCTCTATCTCTTATAGTTTCCAAGATAAATGGACTTTTATGTTTTCACTCATAAAATGGATTTTATATGGGAAATGAAAGTGATCACAGATTTTCATTGTTTTGGCTCTATCTCTTATAGTTTCCTAAGATAAATGGACTTTTATGTTTTCACTCAAAATATGGATTTTATATGGGAAATGAAAGTGATCACAGATTTTCATTGTTTTGGCTCTATCTCTTATAGTTTCCTAAGATAAATGGACTTTTATGTTTTCACTCAAAAATATCGATTTATATGGGAAATGAAAGTGATCACAGATTTTCATTGTTTTGGCTCTATCTCTTATAGTTTCCAAGATAAATAGACTTTTATGTTTTCACTCAAAAAAATAGATTTTATATGGGAAATGAAAGTGATCACAGATTTTCATTGTTTTGGCTCTATCTCTTATAATTTCCAAGATAAATGGACTTTTATGTTTTCATTAAAAAAATGGATTTTATATGGGAAATGAAAGTGATCACAGATTTTCATTGTTTTGGCTCTATCTCTTATAGTTTCCAAGATAAATGGACTTTTATGTTTTCACTCAAAAAATGGATTTTATATGGGAAATGAAAGTGATCACAGATTTTCATTGTTTTGGCTCTATCTCTTATAGTTTCCAAGATAAATAGACTTTTATGTTTTCACTCAAAAAATAGGATTTTATATGGGAAATGAAAGTGATCACAGATTTTCATTGTTTTGGCTCTATCTCTTATAGTTTCCAAGATAAATGGACTTTTATGTTTTCACTCAAAAAAATGGATTTTATATGGGAAATGAAGTGATCACAGATTTTCATTGTTTTGGCTCTATCTCTTATAGTTTCCAAGATAAATGGACTTTTATGTTTTCACTTAAAAATATCGATTTTATATGGGAAATGAAGTGATCACAGATTTTCATTGTTTTGGCTCTATCTCTTATAGTTTCCAAGATAAATGGACTTTTATGTTTTCACTTAAAAAATAGCGATTTATATGGGAAATGAAAGGTGATCACAGATTTTCATTGTTTTGGCTCTATCTCTTATAGTTTCCAAGATAAATGGACTTTTATGTTTTCACTCAAAAAATGGATTTTATATGGGAAATGAAAGTGATCACAGATTTTCATTGTTTTGGCTCTATCTCTTATAGTTTCCAAGATAAATGGACTTTTATGTTTTCACTCAAAAATATGGATTTATATGGGAAATGAAAGTGATCACAGATTTTCATTGTTTTGGCTCTATCTCTTATAGTTTCCAAGATAAATGGACTTTTATGTTTTCACTTCAAAATATCGATTTATATGGGAAATGAAAGTGATCACAGATTTTCATTGTTTTGGCTCTATCTCTTATAGTTTCCAAGATAAATGGACTTTTATGTTTTCACTCAAAATATCGATTTAATATGGGAAATGAAAGTGATCACAGATTTTCATTGTTTTGGCTCTATCTCTTATAGTTTCCAAGATAAATGGACTTTTATGTTTTCACTCAAAATATCGATTTATATGGGAAATGAAAGTGATCACAGATTTTCATTGTTTTGGCTCTATCTCTTATAGTTTCCAAGATAAATGGACTTTTATGTTTTCACTCAAAATATCGATTTTATATGGGAAATGAAAGTGATCACAGATTTTCATTGTTTTGGCTCTATCTCTTATAGTTTCCAAGATAAATGGACTTTTATGTTTTCACTCAAAATATCGATTTTATATGGGAAATGAAAGTGATCACAGATTTTCATTGTTTTGGCTCTATCTCTTATAGTTTCCAAGATAAATGGACTTTTATGTTTTCACTCAAAAATATGGATTTTATATGGGAAATGAAAGTGATCACAGATTTTCATTGTTTTGGCTCTATCTCTTATAGTTTCCAAGATAAATGGACTTTTATGTTTTCACTCAAAATATCGATTTTATATGGGAAATGAAAGTGATCACAGATTTTCATTGTTTTGGCTCTATCTCTTATAGTTTCCAAGATAAATGGACTTTTATGTTTTCACTCAAAATATGGATTTTATATGGGAAATGAAAGTGATCACAGATTTTCATTGTTTTGGCTCTATCTCTTATAGTTTCCAAGATAAATGGACTTTTATGTTTTCACTCAAAAATATCGATTTTATATGGGAAATGAAAGTGATCACAGATTTTCATTGTTTTGGCTCTATCTCTTATAGTTTCCAAGATAAATGGACTTTTATGTTTTCACTCAAAATATCGATTTTATATGGGAAATGAAAGTGATCACAGATTTTCATTGTTTTGGCTCTATCTCTTATAGTTTCCAAGATAAATGGACTTTTATGTTTTCACTCAAAATATCGATTTTATATGGGAAATGAAAGTGATCACAGATTTTCATTGTTTTGGCTCTATCTCTTATAGTTTCCAAGATAAATGGACTTTTATGTTTTCACTCAAAATATCGGATTTTATATGGGAAATGAAAGTGATCACAGATTTTCATTGTTTTGGCTCTATCTCTTATAGTTTCCAAGATAAATGGACTTTTATGTTTTCACTCAAAATATCGATTTTATATGGGAAATGAAAGTGATCACAGATTTTCATTGTTTTGGCTCTATCTCTTATAGTTTCCAAGATAAATGGACTTTTATGTTTTCACTTAAAAATATCGATTTTATATGGGAAATGAAAGTGATCACAGATTTTCATTGTTTTGGCTCTATCTCTTATAGTTTCCAAGATAAATGGACTTTTATGTTTTCACTCAAAATATCGATTTATATGGGAAATGAAAGTGATCACAGATTTTCATTGTTTTGGCTCTATCTCTTATAGTTTCCAAGATAAATGGACTTTTATGTTTTCACTCAAAATATCGATTTTATATGGGAAATGAAAGTGATCACAGATTTTCATTGTTTTGGCTCTATCTCTTATAGTTTCCAAGATAAATGGACTTTTATGTTTTCACTCAAAATATCGGATTTTATATGGGAAATGAAAGTGATCACAGATTTTCATTGTTTTGGCTCTATCTCTTATAGTTTCCAAGATAAATGGACTTTTATGTTTTCACTCAAAAATATCGGATTTTATATGGGAAATGAAAGTGATCACAGATTTTCATTGTTTTGGCTCTATCTCTTATAGTTTCCAAGATAAATGGACTTTTATGTTTTCACTCAAAATATCGATTTTATATGGGAAATGAAAGTGATCACAGATTTTCATTGTTTTGGCTCTATCTCTTATAGTTTCCAAGATAAATGGACTTTTATGTTTTCACTCAAAAATGGATTTTATATGGGAAATGAAAGTGATCACAGATTTTCATTGTTTTGGCTCTATCTCTTATAGTTTCCAAGATAAATGGACTTTTATGTTTTCACTCAAAAATATCGATTTTATATGGGAAATGAAAGTGATCACAGATTTTCATTGTTTTGGCTCTATCTCTTATAGTTTCCAAGATAAATGGACTTTTATGTTTTCACTCAAAATATCGATTTTATATGGGAAATGAAAGTGATCACAGATTTTCATTGTTTTGGCTCTATCTCTTATAGTTTCCAAGATAAATGGACTTTTATGTTTTCACTTAAAAATATCGATTTATATGGGAAATGAAAGTGATCACAGATTTTCATTGTTTTGGCTCTATCTCTTATAGTTTCCAAGATAAATGGACTTTTATGTTTTCACTCAAAATATCGATTTTATATGGGAAATGAAAGTGATCACAGATTTTCATTGTTTTGGCTCTATCTCTTATAGTTTCCAAGATAAATGGACTTTTATGTTTTCACTCAAAATATCGATTTTATATGGGAAATGAAAGTGATCACAGATTTTCATTGTTTTGGCTCTATCTCTTATAGTTTCCAAGATAAATGGACTTTTATGTTTTCACTCAAAAAATGGATTTTATATGGGAAAATGAAAGTGATCACAGATTTTCATTGTTTTGGCTCTATCTCTTATAGTTTCCAAGATAAATGGACTTTTATGTTTTCACTCAAAAATGGATTTTATATGGGAAATGAAGTGATCACAGATTTTCATTGTTTTGGCTCTATCTCTTATAGTTTCCAAGATAAATGGACTTTTATGTTTTCACTCAAAATATCGATTTTATATGGGAAATGAAAGTGATCACAGATTTTCATTGTTTTGGCTCTATCTCTTATAGTTTCCAAGATAAATGGACTTTTATGTTTTCACTCAAAATATCGATTTTATATGGGAAATGAAAGTGATCACAGATTTTCATTGTTTTGGCTCTATCTCTTATAGTTTCCAAGATAAATGGACTTTTATGTTTTCACTCAAAATATCGATTTTATATGGGAAATGAAAGTGATCACAGA